TGCCCTTCCTCTTTCGCCGTATCTCCTCACTGACCGCTAGAAGCCCTGATATTTGAATGTCCCTTTGGTTTGGGTTTTTGTTGAACGAGTTGACTTGAATAATGAAGGTAGGAGAGTTTGTTGAGCGTATCTCCTCGATAATAGAATGCGAGATAAATTATAATTAGTGCACCTCTCTGCGAATTAAAAATGAAGTCACAGGGGTAATGAGATGAAACAATGATATATAAAATGGGGGGTCTACATAGAGAAAGATTGATGAGTGTAACAGATTGAAGGTATATAAGTGTTCATAATGTGTATGAATGGTAATTCAGCATAGTGGTGGCTTAAACAAATTCTATTCTTCGTCCCGTGAAAAGTATAAGTTTAATAAATATATATAGATATATTATTATATATATATATATAAGTGTTTATGAATGGTAAGTCTGCATGGTGGTGGACTAAACAATTTATAGTAATTGAGCAACATCAGAATTGTATTAAAAGATGAATTTTTGTATGATCTTTTTTGTGTTTCCTTTATTTTTTTGTTGTTACTTATGTATTGTTCCTTTATTTTGGAATCAATGTCCACGGTGCTTTCTTTTTTATAAATTTTAGATATATTACAATATATGATATACTGATTTAATGAAAACTTACATAGGAGGGATTTTGTTTACCAAACACATTAGATTGACCCACTCACACTCACAATTTACAGGCTGGAGTAGAGTAATATCCCTTTCTCATTTTCATGTGTTATTTTATCACATGGTTTGCTTGCAAATTTCTTAATTGGAAAAGTTTGCAGGGAATTTTGTGAAGTATGATATAATTTCCTTTGTGAACATTTCGGTGGTGATGCATTGGAGTCTCTGGTGCTGCATTCTTTTGGTATTGGATGAAGTTGATGAATTCTTGTCTTTCAATTCCCGAGAAGACATGCACCGAATATTGGAGCATGTATGGAGGAGATCAAGTGCAGACCCGAATATTTAGCTTTGGCATTGTTTAGAGTGTTTTTAATTGTCAATGATAACTGTTAATGTCTGATGTGACAGTGTTCGCCGTTCGTCAGGTCTGAAGACACAAAGGGATGGGGTTGGGGGGGGGGGGAAGGGGGGGTGGGGGGGGGAATTGTCGAAGTGTCCCAATTTCTTTAACAAGGGGGCATGGGTGCCCGAAAACATTCTGTTTTTGAGTTAAAATAGTGGTACTGAACTAAACTATAGTTAACTAAAAAATACTTAGTTCAGTTTCAGCTTACTGACTAATCTTTAGTTTCAGTACAGTTTTCATAAACGGATTTATATTTAACTATACATTTGTATAGGGGGGGGTGCATGCAACTGTAGGGGCATCGCCCCACCCCTTATTCAGAGGTGTGAGTTATAATGTGAATGTATACCTAAAAAATATATAAGATCTAATATTATTAAATATATGTTAATTAACTACCTTATCAAATTTGTGAAATTTGTTTAACAAGTCATTGTTTGTGAACTTGTAATGATTTGGTGTTTCTTTTGTCCAAAGCAATGCATGACTGATATTTGGAAATTGGATAGACTTGTGTGGATTTTATTCTAATTTATTTATAGAATAAATTGCATTTAGGTCATGCTTCCCAGAAAAATGAAATTCAGGGCTTATTTATGTTATTTGTGTACAATTTTTTTTTCTCCAATTAATTGGTCACACAGTGAGAGTTGCTTACTATTATACAATGGACTACATTTTAAGACTAAATTATATTATGCTGTTTTTCTTTTATGATTCTAACTTTTTTTTAATGTTGTTTGGTTTTAAAAAAAATAATAGTACTCTTTTTTATATCTAAATAAGATCATTTCATAATATATAAATAAATATAATATTAAGTTAAATTTATAATTTCTCTTGATATTAAAATCATAAATTAAAATATATTTTAATAAACTTTATAAAAAATTGGTTATTTTTATATATATTATGCTACTCAAAATTAAATTACCCATTAATATTATAGTATATAAATAGATATACTTCTTCATATATAACTCATTCTATATTATATATTATATATTAAATTATAAACATATCTCTCCTATTATAATGACATATTAAACTAAATAAAATTTGTACACAAATGACAAAGTAATCCTGAAAATCTTTTTTCTTTCTCATAACATTACCTAAATGCAATTTAGAAACTATATATATGTAAAAGAAATTCCACGTAGGTCCATTCATCTCCCAGTATACATCAAAGATGCATGATAATTGTTTTTATTTAAAAAATAAATATCTGTTGATATTTCATGACAAATATATATAAAATGATTTTATAAAATATGAATAGATAAAATAATAAATTAAACTCAAAATTCATCTCTTAACGTAATATTAAAATTATAAATTAGAATATATCTTAATATATTTATATTTTTTAAATTTATTATATTAGTTATTGTTTCAAAAAAATTAATATTTATTAAATTTCTATTGTCAAACCACTTATTAATATTGTACTATATAAATGATTGGAAATTTTATTTACAAAATCATTTTATAAAATTGAATTGAAGTTATTAAATTTTAATTTTTAATCATTAAATTTGAGAAATTAAAATTTTCTTTTAAAAACCTTTTCTAGTTCACTAAATTTTATGCTAACAGTGGTACTCTTTCGAACTTTCTTTATTCACAAAAATCTTGAAAAGTAACATTTTTTCCTTATAAAATTGTACATAAAGTTGTTTCAATTAATTGAGTAATAAAAGTTTATATTTATGTTTTATGAAATCATACTTCATCTTTCTTTTTTTTCTTACTTCTGTTTCTGAAATAAAAGAAGCAACAGTTTTGGCCAGTGATTCATTTAATAAATGAAACAAAGTCTTGGGAGATTAATCTTTCTTTCACTGTTGAATGAAAGAATAATAAAAAGAAACAAGGATGGAGAAAAAAGAAACAGTAGTTGTGCATTAAATGAGCTCACTCCCAAAAATGGTTGACTTCACTGTTTTAAATAGCATTAATTAGGTTTTAAATTTGATGTAATGATGTAATATTACATCAAATTCATGAACTAATTACCAAATTTGGAGAATTTATATCAAAGATTTATGTGACATTGTTTTCTTCTGGTTACAATAATTATAAGATTTTCTCTAAACATATGAGTAAACCACACGAATCAATGAAAGTAGAAGAGAAAGGATACATATTACTTTATTCTTCGCTGCAATGACACGAGTTAAAGTTGCCGTTGCGTGTCGTACACACGTGCGCTATTTCACCAGGTGTCAGTACAGAACACTACTGTCACCGACAAAGTCTCATAGGTTCTTCTTCCTGATAATCAATCCGAGGATTGCGCACGTGCTCTTTTACCTGTTTATCCAGTCACTCCACCGGATTACCGGTAAACCAATCTCCTTTTATGACCAGTCTTTTCTTTTCTTGTAACATACGATTTAACGGTTAAGATCTCACGAAACTCGTGTGAAACACTACCCCATTAGACTTCCTTTTTTCTGATGTAGTTGGAACCTTTTACTTTGTTCTTCTTTGTTTCTCTGTCTCTCTCGTTTTTCTTATTGTTCTTCTTGTTGTGAGTAAAGAACAAGGGTTGCTTCTTCTCTTTTGGATTCTAAGGAAGAGGAATTTTATATTTTCTAAAATTTCACTGGGTTGTGCTTTTTGTCTCTGAAATGGAGAGAGATTTCATGGGTCTCAACTCGAAAGAACCACCCACTCCGGTGAAGGAGGAGATCAACGTTGATGGCTACGAAGGCTCTGGCATGTTTCAACTTTTTCTTTCATTCTTAAATTTCTATATTTCATTGCTTTCTTGCAANTATGTTTTATGAAATCATACTTCATCTTTCTTTTTTTTCTTACTTCTGTTTCTGAAATAAAAGAAGCAACAGTTTTGGCCAGTGATTCATTTAATAAATGAAACAAAGTCTTGGGAGATTAATCTTTCTTTCACTGTTGAATGAAAGAATAATAAAAAGAAACAAGGATGGAGAAAAAAGAAACAGTAGTTGTGCATTAAATGAGCTCACTCCCAAAAATGGTTGACTTCACTGTTTTAAATAGCATTAATTAGGTTTTAAATTTGATGTAATGATGTAATATTACATCAAATTCATGAACTAATTACCAAATTTGGAGAATTTATATCAAAGATTTATGTGACATTGTTTTCTTCTGGTTACAATAATTATAAGATTTTCTCTAAACATATGAGTAAACCACACGAATCAATGAAAGTAGAAGAGAAAGGATACATATTACTTTATTCTTCGCTGCAATGACACGAGTTAAAGTTGCCGTTGCGTGTCGTACACACGTGCGCTATTTCACCAGGTGTCAGTACAGAACACTACTGTCACCGACAAAGTCTCATAGGTTCTTCTTCCTGATAATCAATCCGAGGATTGCGCACGTGCTCTTTTACCTGTTTATCCAGTCACTCCACCGGATTACCGGTAAACCAATCTCCTTTTATGACCAGTCTTTTCTTTTCTTGTAACATACGATTTAACGGTTAAGATCTCACGAAACTCGTGTGAAACACTACCCCATTAGACTTCCTTTTTTCTGATGTAGTTGGAACCTTTTACTTTGTTCTTCTTTGTTTCTCTGTCTCTCTCGTTTTTCTTATTGTTCTTCTTGTTGTGAGTAAAGAACAAGGGTTGCTTCTTCTCTTTTGGATTCTAAGGAAGAGGAATTTTATATTTTCTAAAATTTCACTGGGTTGTGCTTTTTGTCTCTGAAATGGAGAGAGATTTCATGGGTCTCAACTCGAAAGAACCACCCACTAAGGTGAAGGAGGAGATCAACGTTGATGGCTACGAAGGCTCTGGCATGTTTCAACTTTTTCTTTCATTCTTAAATTTCTATATTTCATTGCTTTCTTGCAAAGTTCCACTCCTTGTGAATTACTTCCGGAGTTTCTTTTTTCAATTTATGATTCAATTCTTCTTACTCTTTGATTGCATGTGGGTTGATTTATGTTAAAAAGTTATTTTCGTGTTCATAGATTTGCTTGGTAATAATAGTTTTTCGTTTTCTTTGCTCTTTTTTTTAACTTGTAAGTTTTTCTCTGTCTGGTTCAAAACTTTCCTTGTTTATTCGGAATTCATGAGTCAGATTTTACTAGTGGAAGTAATTAAGCTGTGACTTACTTTTGTTTATATATTTAAAGTACTTTATGAGTGCCTTGTGAAATTTTGAATTTGGAGAAAGAAATCGCTGTCAAGTTCTTACTGGTTTTGTTGATTTGGGTGTGCTTCTAAACAAAAATACATACAGAGATTTGCGCATAGGCCATTAGGTCCTAATTGTGCTACTTGTTTTAATATCTGTTTTTGTTTTATCCCTTAAGGTCTATTGGCCAATTAACTCAGGTTTAAAGTCTGCCTAGCTTATGTTGATGGCGATTTTTGTGGGTATGTGTAGGATTCACAAAGGGTTCCATTGCACAGTGGCCTTTCTCGAACAAAGTATCCGCAATTCCACATTTGATGTCTTTCAAGGCTTCTCAAGATGATAAGACTAAGAAGATGTTGTCTGGTCCCATAACAGCTGGTCTTTTATCTATCTTAAGTCAAGATGCAATTGAGTCTAGTCACAAACGCTCTGCCGGTGACACCCAGGTTAGATGCAACATTAAATTAAATTAAAAGGGGTATAATTGTTTTTTGGGCATTATTATTTGTACTTTAATTTAAGTCAACTACGAAAATAAGAGGATAGCTCTTCATGTCTTTCTCCTTCCCTTTCATGTAAAAATTTATAAAAATTCTGCTTTTGCTTATGGCTGTCCTATGCCCTTTTGGATCAGTACCTAACATGTGATTGTTGTGCAACTTCTCATGCCTGGTGTTTCAACATCTAAACACCAGTATCAGCTGATGTCTATTTTGCCTTTTCATCCATTGATTGTTTGTTATTACAACTATTCAGAAATCTTTCAATCACGATGGGCAAGGTGGTCATCATTTTTCGCTGACTCAACATGATGTGAATTCTGTGCATCGTCCTCATGATGTGAAGATGTTTTCGGTTCCCAATCAAGCAATTTCAGTTTCCATGGGGAATCCATTCCTGAATAATCATTTTGCAACTGGTGGCCAGAATATGAATCGCACCAGTGTAAAGCAGTCATTCCTTGGGGGAATACCTGTTTCTGTGCCCCATTTAGTTATTCCCAACGCTGGTGCTGTTGCTGGAATGGTTGAACCATGGTAATTTTAGTTTTATCCTTGAATTGAATTGAATTGTGTGATAGTATACAAGCTTGTTTCTGTTTTTGATTTACGTTGTTTTTAAGTAACAGTATGAAACCATCTCCGCCTTCTGCCCAACTTACCATCTTCTATGGGGGAACTGTCAAAGTCTTTGATGATATCTCTGCTGAAAAGGTAAACAATATCGTGTATTATCTATTGGTCAAGCCTTGATTGTGGTTAAGCTTTTAAACGGGGCCATTTTTTTGCAGGCTCAAGCTATCATGTTGTTGGCTGGCAGTAGCGTATCTGTAGCTCATAGCATGGTCCAGCCAAAAGTTCACGTGCCGGTCTCGAAGATGGCTGCTGGCGACAGTGTGCCTGCGACTCAGCCTGCAAATACGCCACCCGGCTCTGGCCTTTCGAGCCCTATATCTGTTTCTTCACATACTGGAACACAATCAGGGAGTGGCTCAACCAGCACTGATGAATTTCTTGCTGCGAAAACAACTGGAGTTCCCACCACTCTTGTTAGCAATGTGGACCCTCCAAAGGTAGTCAGTGCAGCCACTATGTTGACATCAGGTATGTTGAGGATATCATTTCTCACACTCTTTGCAGACGATGGTTCTTTAGTTCATCTTCATTTGTGTGGTCTTGATCGTCATGTAGACTTATACATTAATGATGGTCTTGATATTATCTGTGTTTGACCATTACACCTGTTTCAGTTTAATGATTTCTACAAACCATCTGTTATGCAGCTGTACCTCAGGCTAGGAAAGCATCCTTGGCTAGATTTTTAGAAAAACGCAAAGAAAGGTTAGTTCATATNGCTATCATGTTGTTGGCTGGCAGTAGCGTATCTGTAGCTCATAGCATGGTCCAGCCAAAAGTTCACGTGCCGGTCTCGAAGATGGCTGCTGGCGACAGTGTGCCTGCGACTCAGCCTGCAAATACGCCACCCGGCTCTGGCCTTTCGAGCCCTATATCTGTTTCTTCACATACTGGAACACAATCAGGGAGTGGCTCAACCAGCACTGATGAATTTCTTGCTGCGAAAACAACTGGAGTTCCCACCACTCTTGTTAGCAATGTGGACCCTCCAAAGGTAGTCAGTGCAGCCACTATGTTGACATCAGGTATGTTGAGGATATCATTTCTCACACTCTTTGCAGACGATGGTTCTTTAGTTCATCTTCATTTGTGTGGTCTTGATCGTCATGTAGACTTATACATTAATGATGGTCTTGATATTATCTGTGTTTGACCATTACACCTGTTTCAGTTTAATGATTTCTACAAACCATCTGTTATGCAGCTGTACCTCAGGCTAGGAAAGCATCCTTGGCTAGATTTTTAGAAAAACGCAAAGAAAGGTTAGTTCATAAGCATTCTTACTTGGGTGGGCGTAATATATTTCTTGACATAAGGAAATCATGCTTATCATCCTTGGACTGTTAAACTTCTGGTTCAATGACTATACTACATGGACTTGTTATATGCTATCCTTGCTTAACCTGGCAGTTAGTGTAACGAAGACTACATGAAATTATTTACGAGGTTTCTGTGTTTGGTTTTGCAGGGTGACGAGTGCAGCACCATACAACCTTAACAGGAAGTCTGAAGAGTGTGGCCCTGCAGAATTTGGTGGTGCCATGTTTTCTGCAGGTGCTGCGACCAGTACTGTTTCGGCAATGCAAGGATAGTAGCCACCAGCTTTAGGAAAATATTTCTGAGAAACAATATTCTAGTAACCTGAAAGTGTTGTAAGCTGATATTTTGGTTGATCACAATTTATGCTGACATTATTCTCAAGTACCAGACTTCGTTCGGTTCATAGATAGGTTATTACCATAGTTATTTTTGTTGTGTAGGGCTTTTACCTTGTTATTTTAAAGGTTGCTTGAATTTTAGATTCCTACATAGCAATCGACAACTATTAACTCATATTATTTGTTTACATTTGAGGTGTAAAAGCCCAGTTTATATATTTATTTATATTCTGTACTTATTTCTTGTTTCTTTTTGTGAAAAAACCTAAAGAAACAAAAAATTCATCTACCTCTTTTCTTACTATAAGAAATATATTAAAATTTCATTTTCTTGAAATTGAGAAATGTCATTTGGTATGTTGATTTGCATGTTAAAAGTTATTTATTACATATACGCATTTGAGATGGCAATCCAAACGGATCTTAAAAAATAGAAATGAACTGCTAAAAGTATTACTAGATGGGGAAAAAATTGGAGCATAGATTCTTGTGTAGATTCTTTCTGATTTTTACTATTATTATTCTACCATTCCTAATTTTTTAATATATTTTAATAGAGGAACACTATCATTATTTCTGCAGAAAATTCAAATTCAAAAATTGCAGGGCATGGGTGTCTCTGATATCATAATATCATTCTCGTGAAAAACAACTCGCCCACTTGATTAAACAAAAAAAAAAACTTGAAAAAGATTTTACAATATAAAACCAATTTATATATTTTGGTTATAGAGCTAAGAGAAAAAAAAAATGCTAAGGTTATACTATTTGAAAGTAATTTGCACTTTAGAATAAAAAGTCCTCGTCTTAACCTTCTCACAATTTATATAATGTGCCATATATACAACCTGCATTGTGATATCTAATATTAAATAATTGTAATATTATTTTAAAAATAGATTTTAAATTTAATCGAATTCTATAAATAATTTATTAAATAAGATTTCTATCTATTCACACACTATAAATTTGTTTTATTTGTAGTGAATTTAGAATCTCCAATTTTAACTATAATAAAAAAAATCTATTATATTTTTAATTAATTTCTAAATTTGCGGTCATTTATTTGTTTTTGTTTCATTACTTCGTCACTTTACACATCTAAGGCAACTTTTTACACATAAATTATAAGTTAGTTTTTATTTTATTTTATTTTTTTCTAACAATTACAAGAACAATCTCTTACTCGAACAGTAGTTATTAGTATTTCTAGTTGAAAACATAACTTTTTTAGGATAATCAAGTTTTTTTTAAACTTATTATATTTTTATCAGATTTATTTATTTATTTTAAGTTTATTCAATTTCATAGTTATAAAAAATGAAAGATAAAATGCGACAAATGTTATTGAAATTAAAACTCAACAATAATATTTTTGAAGTAACGAAGATGATCCTTAATTATCATACTTTTTTAATAACTTGGACTATAGTTTTTTATGTTTTCTTATTAATGAAATATTTAATTTTCACAATTTTTATATAACAAATCATGAAGTCCAACAAACATACTAAACATTATAATAATATTGTTATTGTAATATTTGTATGTATTTTTACATATAATAATAATAATAATATCAACACAAAATTTATATATGTCAAATATCATTTTTCTTTTACCTGACCAAATAAATTATTTTATTCAGTTAGGAAGACTGAACTCAAATAATTTCAATATCTTTTCAGCATTGTAATAATTGAATATCTTATTCTCACCTTATTTTTTCTGTTCCCTTATCTGTTTACAATAAAATTAAATGAAGAGAAAAACAACAACAATTATATATGTAATGTATCCCTCACCTTTTCTCTTAAATAAAAATCTAACTTTTCTGTAGTTTGGCGCACGTGCATTACAGCCGTTGGATTTCACACCGAGAGACATATCCTGACGTGGTGCTAATCCTAACTCTTTATCTTTACCGTCACAAGTATCTTCAATGAGACTCTTTATAAAAGTTATTAAAAAATAAAAATATATTATTTTAATGAATGCTTTTGGTATATAAATTACCTAAAATTTTGAAAAATCATTCATATCAATATTTGTTTTCCATTTATACAGTAATTTTGTATAATATTTTTATTTATAAGTAAAAAAATTCAATAAACACCAGCAGAAGTTATGCTTCTCTCTCTTGTTTCTTTCTCCTCCACCTCACATGCTTCCACTCTCTCAAAAGGAGCAAACTTTCATTTCGTTTGCTTTTCCCGCACTAGCTAGGACATTTCCCAAATTTCAACTCTTCTTTCATTTCAATTTCCCTTCTTTTCAGTTTTTCTTGTGTGGGTTTCCTTTGAAATTCAGTCTAAGCAGTGCTCCTTTTATGCTACTGCTGGACACATTCAACTCTCATGGCTCTGCTGCTGCTGTTCTTCATGCTGTCACTCTCAATTTCTGCATCTGGGTCTGGGGGTAAGTTATGCATCTGTGTTTATTTTTTTAGTTTCCATTTAGTTGTTGTTGATTAATTTATCTATGTTGTTCACGCCCCCAAAGTATATTAATGCCTAAGTTTCATTTTCTTCTTCTGTTGGACTTTGGTTTTTGTTTTTCCCTTCATTATTTATATCAGCTTCATCCTAACATAACCAGTTCTTCCTGCCATTGAAAGTGGCATTGGTTAATTCCTTATTGTTTAAGATTTGATCAATGTTTTCTTGTTTCTCTATTGGATTGCATTTACATTACTGTTTTGAAATTTGAAAAGTGGAGAGAGAGGGGGGATTTGTAAATGGTAAGTGTCACTTTCATTTTTATTTTTAGTTATTGTTGTTCAAAGTAAAAGGTTTTATGCCAGAAAATCTTTTACTTTGTACAGAGCTTGCGATCTGTCCTTTCCCGTCTTTGGTGGGAGCAATGTTGTTGCGTCCCAGCTCATCACACACTGTTACTCTGTTGCATTTGGCAGTTAACTGCATTTTGCAAAAAAAATGTACTAAAATACCCTTATTTTAGAAAACCAGATATGAATGTTGAAATAGGTTTATTCACATTTGTCTAATTGTAGTTTTGAAACTGCCCAGAAAATTAAACAGAGGTCCACAAGAGTAAATGGGACAATCTGCCACCTACCATTTATAAATAAATGCATTATCATGAAACGTGCGTTCTAGTCCTAGAATAGTCAATTAAGGTTACACAGAAGAATACAAGTAATCTTCATGAATACTCCAGTCTTTATATGGTTTTCTGTGTGCAAGTAACGTACTGTTAATACTTTCACTTCTGGAATTTAATAAGCATGGTAGATAGAAAGTGATCTTGGTGATGTGGCGCGACCCCTTCAGTTCCCATTGACTGAGTTGCCAAATAAATTTTCAACATTTTATTTCGTAGTTTGCTAAAAAAGTGAATTTCTCTCTTGTGTATGTTGGCGGCTAGAAGAACTAGGTGCTGGTGATGTGAATGCGTAACCTACTAACCAGCATCATATGAGTGTGTTAAACATCCTTTTTAGCTAATGCACGTCTCTTAGGTCCTACCTCACTGATAAGAACAAGAAACACATGGAGTGACGGGTAAAAAAGCTTACTTCAACTGTTGTCATGGCTTATGTACCCACGATCAAATATGAACAATGCAATTGATTTGTCAACGGCCAATTCTAATTTGATTGCATATAAGGATATTATTAGGTAGCTACATGAACAATTTGGTCATCTACAGACCCTTGTCAGACTTATTATTATTATAGTATCGCTGACAGGGAACCTAAATGCTTGATTATGACAGAACTACCTGCAATTATGATGTACGTAAGACTGATTCCAACTAAGTTATGTTCTTGAAATTAGGATCTGTAGAAGTCAGGGTTATAAACTTATCTCACTTTTAGTCGTGGATATAATGTCTCACGTCTTTTAGTTGTGATATACCAGCTTATTTCCGAAAAACTGGAACAAGTTATAGTTCTTGAATGTTATTGCTTCCTATTTCACTTGTGAAGCTGAGCACAGCCGCTAATTGCTATAAGCAGGCTAAATCTTTTCACAGGACAGGTGGTGTATATATTATAAACAGTAAAGTTATAGAGCCGACTTGTCAGATAAGTGAATCATTCTCCATTCTCTTTTCTTGAACCATGTATGTCTCAAGAAGTACATACATTTCTTTGGCTGTCACGTTGCATATTTAATTTTAATTTTGGTGACTCTTGTTAACCCTACCGACCTGCTGGGGTTGTCACTGATTACAACATGAAACGTGCTCAATGAGTTCTATGAGATTTTTATAGAGAAATCCAGGATCTAGAAAGGGTAAGCACGTGTCAGTAAATCATAACTTTTACTTCTGCATCTAATGTTCCAGTGTTCCTCTTATTTCATTTCTGAAGGTTTGTTGTTGATTGTTAATATATTTTTTTCTGAAAATGCAGGCATTTTTTATTTACTTGATGTAAATTATATTTAGATCGAGGATTTATACCTCATTGCTCTTGTAATTTATTCCATATCTGACTAAGTTGTACATCCTTTTTCGTGTTTGGATTTACCATACAACTTTACTTTTTTTTTTCTCTTTCCTACCTCTTTATCTGTTGGTGATGGTTGCTGACATTTTTTATTCAGTTTATGATCAATATCACATGGTGACTTCGAGTAAACTCGTGTTAAAATGAAAGTCCTTCATCCATACGCTCCTTTTTTTTTTTTGACAGATGCATTTATTGGTGTCAACATTGGTGTAGATATAACTGACGTGCCAGGTCCAACAGAGATTGTTGCTCTTCTGAAGGCTCAAGGTATCCAACATGTGAGACTCTATGATGCTGACCGAGACTTACTTCGTGCACTTGCCAAGACAGGAATCCGTGTAACTGTTTCTGTTCCCAATGACCAGTTACTTGGCATTGGTCAGTCCAACGCGACTGCAGCAAACTGGGTTAATCGAAATGTCATAGCTCATATCCCTGCTACTAACATCACTGCCATATGTGTTGGATCTGAGGTTCTAACTACTCTCCCAAATGCAGCCCCTATTCTAGTCTCTGCCATAAATTTCATTCATTCTGCTCTTGTTGCGGCTAATCTAGATCAGCAAATTAAAGTCTCTAGTCCGCACTCTTCTTCTATCATCCTTGATTCTTTCCCTCCTTCCCAGGCATTTTTCAACCGTACATGGAATTCAGTCATGGTTCCCATGCTTAAATTTTTGCAATCAACAGGTTCATATCTTATGCTCAACGTGTATCCATATTATGATTACCAGCAGGCCAATGATGCAATCCCACTAGATTATGCTTTATTCCGCCCCCTACCTCCAAATAAGGAAGCTGTTGATTCCAACACTCTGCTGCATTATACTAATGTTTTTGATGCAGTTGTTGATGCTGCTTATTTTGCAATGTCCGATTTGAACTTCACCGATATCCCTATTGTGGTGACTGAGTCAGGATGGCCCTCCAAAGGTGATTCATCTGAACCTGATGCAACTGTTGATAATGCCAACACTTACAACAGTAACTTGATCAGACACGTCCTTAACAATACGGGGACTCCTAAACATCCTGGAATTGCAGTTAGCACCTATATTTATGAGCTTTATAATGAAGACTTAAGATCCGGTCCATTCTCAGAAAAGAACTGGGGGCTATTTTATGCCAATGGAGAACCGGTGTATACCTTACACTTGACTGGTGCCGGTACTATTTTTGCAAATGATACAACAAACCAAACCTTTTGTGTCGCAAAGAGTAATGCTGACTCTAAGATGTTACAGGCAGCACTTGATTGGGCTTGTGGACCGGGAAAGGTGGATTGTTCCCCTTTGCTGCAGGGTCAAACATGTTATCAACCGGATAATGTAGTTTCACATTCTACGTATGCTTTCAATGCATACTATCAGAAGATGGATAAATCGCCGGGTAGTTGTGATTTCAAAGGCGTTGCATCTATCACTACCACAGACCCAAGTATGGAAATACATACTCCTAAGTAAATATATGAGTTGGATACAAATGTGTGTGCATTCACTAGAACACCATATCTGTAGGCAATAATTAAACATGCATGTTTGTATCCAGGCTTGCACCTCAACACAATAACCAGGTTTGATAGAATTACATATTAGATGAATTAGGAATTGTTATACATCAAAGAAGGTGTGCATAATCAATTTTCTGTTTAAAGTTGCTCAGCATTATAATTCAACTGATATTTGCATTACAATTTTTACAGGTCACGGTTCTTGTATATTTCCTGGAAGGTATGATTCTAGAGATTCTGTTACTGTGTTTCGTTGCCATTCCTTTCCTGAATATAAGCGCTGTCTTATTAATGTATATTCCCAATCCCTTCTCTTTCAACTCTCAAAGAGCTGTTAAATAACTTCTTTTTCTTTGGTTGCATATTTATGGTGAAATAAAGTCATGGGAGAAAGGGAACCCGGATAAATGGAACATCACTGGCACCATCTAATTCCACAAGTTCGGGATACTTGCTACAATATAACTCCAACGGTGGATTTTTCACAAGCTCGTTGGGTCTGATTGTTCTACTTTTATGTGCATTTATGTAGAGAACTGAATATATAAATTAATGGAGGCATTCTCTTCAACTTTTTTATGCAAGATTACATCGCAACATACCTTATTTAGAGTTCCTTCTAAAAATTATTTGAGTTGTCCAGTTGATCAACATGTATATCAGCAATTGTAATGAGTTGTCCATTGAATTTTGTACAAACAGACAGTAATTATTTGATATCGTTGCTGTACGCATTGTTTCTTTTTGAATAACAATTTTATTCTTTGAATTTGAATTATTTTGTCTATGGAATCATTTGGAATACTTTGGCATGATGATCTTGACACTGTACAGAGCTGATGAATCGGACTCTTTTGTGACGACTTGAAAGAATTTAGGGAAAGGCTACCACAACAGACAACATCGAAAATAATATCAGTCATCAGCCATAAGCGTAGCAGAAGTTACGGGAACTTATCCCAAGTTGTACTTCATTATAGAACATCAGTATAGGTATATCCGTGAGAGTTTTCATCACAAACTTTACAGATCAATGAAGAGTCTGAAGAAGTGCACCACCAATTTGAGTGTTGCTTACAGTATGGTTTGTTACAGAAACTGCATTTTGGAAGCTGTAACCAACATTCAAGGCAGAATATGTCTTCACAAGCTCCCTCTTCCACTTCTCCGGATTCGATGCATCCACCGCAGTTTTCACACCTTGGAATGCAAAATTTGCAACCCCTACACGGGGATAGTGGCCATTCCTTCCTCGTGCAAGGCTCTCTGGGGCAATCATAAACCATCCTCACCTCAGAGCACCTGGGGCATAAATCCAAATCAATGAGCCGTTGGCTCTCTTCATGCTTAAATACCGAAAGGGAACCTCGTTCATGATAGTAGACAGGCTGCTGCTTTTGCTGCTCCTCTGTTGGTTGATTCTTTCTCAGGTTCATGATAAGCATGTCAAGATGATCCTTCTGTACGTTGTAAATGCCATTTATACTTAAGGTCTTCAAGCAATTGCTTTTTTGGCATAGTGTTTTCACGGCTCTGAGAACTCCTTAAGGGGTTATACCTGTGCACCCTGGTATACGCAGCTGCACCAAAATGAAACCATAAATGAGACAACACTTAAATCTTAGTATGTTTGCGAAGCCTTCTAATTTTTCAAATCTGATTTCTTCTCTTATATGCATTCAGTTTCAAGCTCATTTGAAGATCTAAATATGGTTTTCAAGATGTACACGCCACCATTTTGTCAAATAACTTTTCATTTCTCCAATAATTTTGTAGAAAATCCCCACAACAACCAGTTTAACACATAATTCCATCATTTCTTAGCATTGTCCTACTTGATACACAAGTAAACCTGACCTCACAGATTCATTCAGATAAGTAAACCTTCAAATTTATCAAAGCCTGATTTTTTCTCCTATATGCATTCAGTTTCTAGCTTATCTGAAGATCCAGACATGGTTTTCAAGATGTACAAGCCGCCCTTTTGTCAAGTAACTTTTCATTTTTCAATCAATTTTATAGAAAACCCCTACAACCAGTTTTACACAGAATTCCATACATTTATCAACATTGTCCTACTTGATAAACAGGAAAATCTGACCTCAAAGATTCATTCAGATAATACAGAAACCAAGATTTTGCATAGTTAAAGCACAACAATGAACTAGGAAAAGATGGTGAGTGAAAAATGTGTGGGTTTAGTTATTGGTACCTTGTTTATGAGAGGGTTTTGTTCCACGACCCTCAGGAGCCCGTCATCGGTAACACGCGTGCAGCTAATGAGAGTGAGAGTTTTGAGGCTACAATTGGCCTTAGAGGCGACTTTAAATAGAATCTCATCGTTGAGTCGCCAATTAAGAGGCCATTCAACAGTAACATTCAACCATGGTAATATGTCATTGTTGACTGCATCTCTCAGTGATGTGCAAACCTGAGACATGAGCACAACCTCGTACACAGGAAGATATGTCAAGACCAGAAACAAACCCTCGTGAGGAGGCTTTGCTTCAGGTTGTTCCTGTTCAACAGTTAAACTGACCGCCTTGGAGGATTCTGCCATGTTTGGTTCACTCACCGAAGGAAAATAAACTTGCGTGTATTTAAGGGATTTTAATATCAGTGATGGAATTGGCAAGAAAACAAGATGAGATATCAACATGACACGTTAGCTAGATGTGGTTAAAGGTATCCCAGCCACAAATCACAAATGTTCAG